ATAAAAATGTGTAAGAAAAGATAAAAATAAGAAGATTTGTTATAGAAATTGGTTTAAATATAAATGCTCTAAAAATTAGTTAAGATATAAAGTAGCTCTTAAGGAGTCTAATAAAGTAATATGTGGTGCAAAAAATTAGTTTTTAATGATTTATATAATATATTAGATACTAAAGATGACGAAAGATATATGTATAAGTTAGCCTTGCAAAGAGCTAAGAGAAATAAGAATTTAGTTCAAGTGAAGTGCATTAAGGATGAAGATCAAAATGTTTTTTTATTAGAAGAGGATATTAAAAAAAATGTATGAGATATTTTGATAAGCTTTTCAAAGAAGATTGTGAGAATACAGTTGACTTTAGTGACCTTAATACGCTAAATGAAAATATAGATTTTTGCTTATAACATCATATTAGTAAACTTAAATTAGAGATGCTTTAAAGGAAATGATGCTTGAAAAAGTTGTTGGACCTTGTAATATTCCAATAATGTGAAAATGCTTAGGAGTTTAAAAAATTTCTTGGCTTACAAAATTTTTCAATATTATTTTGAAGACTAAACAAATGCTAGATGAGTGGATTGAGTTGATTTCTATTTTTAAGAATATAGGTGATGCACAAGAGTGTGCAAATTATAAAGGAATTAAGTTAATGTCTCATACAATAAAACTATGGGAGAGAGTTATTGAGCATATGTTACGATGTGATACTAATGTTTCTCAAAATCAATTTGTATTCATGCTGGGTAGGTCTACTATTGAAGTTATACATTTCTTGTGAGGTTTGATACAAAAGTATGGAATGAATAAGGAGGATCTACATATGTTATTTATTGATTTAGAGAAAGCATATGATAAAGTTTTAAGAGAAGTGCTCTGGAGAATTCTAGATAAGAAATGAGTTAATAATGCTTGTAAACAAATCATTAAGCATATGTATGCAAGAGCTGTTACTTTTGTTAAAATGCAAGGTGGTTTGACCAATTATTTTTCCATTTCAGTTGGATTACATCAAGGATTGGCTTTAATCCCGTGTATTTTTGCTCTTGTCATGGATGTTCTTACTAGATATTTGTAAGAGGTACCCTAGTGTATGCTTTTTGCTTATGATATTCTTCTTGTTGATAAAACTAGAGAGGGAGTTGAAGGAAACTTTGAATTATGGAGGTCAACCTTAAAATCTAAATGTTTCGTTTTAGTATATCTAAAATTGAATACATGGAGTATATTTTTAATTATATATATATATATATATATATATATATATATATCTTAGATTTAAATGATAATTTGACTCTTAATAGGACACAATGAAGAAAAAAGGATTCATGTAGACGATCCTTGATGTTGTTTTTGTTGTTGTTGTTGTGATATTTTAATGTATTTATCATTCTTTTGCCATGAATTTTATCTTCACTAGGTTGTGTAAAAAAATGATGTTTGCATCTACATTATAAAAAGTAAAGGGCGACCTACTTTGCTATATTTTTATTTTCAAGAGATGATGAATTGTAGAATCTCAAAATATACCCTCATTACTAATTTTTCATTGATTGGTCCACTTGCAAATGAGTTAGATTGGCAGCTATTTGTCGGCAAGATCATGTTCGTCTAGCGGTGCAGCATATTCTTGTAGTTTAACTGCTTGAATGTTGTTTGCATGTAATTGAAATGCGTGCTTCTAAGTGGAAGAACTAAGAATTTTAAGGCAAATGGGATGCATTTGTCACAGCGCACTGAAAAGTTCATTTAGGAAGAGAAACATTGAAGTGTTGTGTAATTGGAGGGTGTTGGATTCTACTTTCACTTGATTCTTGTTCAAAAGCTCCGTATCCCCTATTAAGATTTTTCTTGTCAGAGGTCAAAACCGACACTTGAGTCTAGTGAAACCTATCACGGTTTAACTAATCTGATCCAAATTGGTCATTTGGCTAGGTTGGTCTCCAATTGTAACTGTTGGTTGGATTTTTAGATTTTTAAACCAAATTAGTTTGATTTGTGTTGATTACAAGCCTAAATGGCGCAACATTTGATTTTGACTTGTGCTATAGTACTAGCATGAGTAGTCCGTTCTATAGTACTTTGAGAAGCGTGAGTGGAAATCTAGGATTGGTTTGGATAGGAGTAACGTATGCATAGAAGGCTGAGCAAACCTTTTTTTTAGCCATATTTGATAAATGGTGATCTTGATTCTTTCAAATAATGAACAAAGTAAATCCATGGGTTCTATCCTATATCCTGATGGGCCTATAATATTTGGCTCGAACTTTTGGCTCAGTATTAGGGATTAAAGAGACTTATGGACATCTTGAGGAATAGTATGACATAAGACATATGTCGGGGCTTGGGAAGTAGGAAATATGAATCAAAAGTGCTCGTCTAATTTAGCTAGAAAAGTGATTGAGAATAAGAGGGGCATCATATGGATGCATTTCTTTGAGACAGATGTCTTACTGCTTGGTATATTTCTTTTTGTTGAACATGATCTCTTAAATGTTTTTTTTCCATACAATAATACAATGTTGCAAAAGATGTGCTTGGAGTGATATTAAGTATGTTGCAAACGATATGCTTGGTGTGTCAAAGGAAAAAGCTCATAATAGTAAAAATAGTTTATGGTAGAATTAAAATGTGCAAGAAAAGATAAAAATATAAGAAGCTTTGTTATAAAAATTGGTTTAAATGTAAAAATTTAAATAATTGAGAAAAATATAAAGAGGATTGTAAGGAGTCTAAGAAAGCAATATGTGATGCAAAGATTTTAGTTTTTAATGATTTATATGATAGATTAAATACTAAGGAGAGCGAAAGATATATGTATAAGATAGCCAAATAATGAGATATGAGTAGTAAGGATTTTTAATTTAAGTGAAGTGTATTAAAGATGAAGATGAAAAAGTGCTTTTATTAGAAGATGATATTAAACAAAGGTGGATGAGATATTTTGTTAAACTTTTCAATGAAGATTGTGAAAATACGACTGACTTTAGTGACCTTAACATACAAAATAAAAATAAAAAATTTTGTTTTTATTAGCTTATTAGTAAAATCGAAGTTATAGAGACTTTAAAGAAAATGAAGTATGGAAAAGCTGTTGAACCTGATGATATCCAATAGAGGTGTGGAAATGCTTAGGAGATGAAGAAATTTCTTGGCTTACTAAAATTTTTAATATTATTTTGAAGACTAAAAACATACTAGAGGAGTGGAGAATGAATGTGTTGATTTCTTTTTTTTTTTAGAATAAAGGTGATGCACAAGATTGTGCGAATTATAGAGAAATTATGTTAATATATCATACTTTAAAACTTCGGGAGAGATTTATGGAGCAGAGGTTATGATGTGATACTAATGTTTCTCAAAATTAATTTGGATTCATGCCGGGTAGGTCTACTATCGAAGCTATTCATTTATTGAGAGGTTTCATGGAGAAGTGTAAAGAGAATAAGAAGGATCTACATATGATGTTTATTGATTTAGAGAAAACTTATGATAAAGTTACAAGACAAGTGCTATGGAGAGTTGTAGAAAAGAAAGACGTCAATAATGCTTATATTTAAGTCATTAAGGATATCTATGCAGGAGCTGTTACTTGTGTCCAAATATAAGGTGGTTTGACCAAGTATTTTATTATTTTAGTTGGATTGTATCAAAGATCAAACTTAAGCCCATATCTTTTTGCTTAGTCATGGATGTTCTTACTAGACATTTGCAAGAGGATGTACCTTGGTGTATGCTTTTTTGCTAGTGATATTCTTCTTGTTGATAAGATTGGAGAGGGAGTTGTGGGTAAACTTGAATTATGGAGGTCAACCTTTGAGGCTAAATTTTTTCGTTTGAGTAGATCTAAAATTGAATATATGGAGTGTAATTTATGTAGTAATAGATCTAGTGGGAGGATTGTTACTTTCGAAATGACATTTCTTTATTAGATTTAAATGAGAATTTGACTCTTAACATGGCACAATGGAGAAAAAAGGATTTATGTAGCCGACCACACATAATGGAATAAAAGGCTTGATGTTGTTGGTGTTATTGTATACAATAATATCATGTTTTGGTCATTCTTATATTAAAGGGTTATAGAACAGATAGAAGAATAGACTGACATATTGGTTGAAGAACGTATTAATGCAAGGAATCAATATGCAAACGTTAAAAGACTTACTTTTAGAGAATTGCAGCAAAGCAAAGGTGGATTCTAAGTATCGTTATCAATTGAATTCTTGGTGGTGTTAGTTTGAAACCTTTTCAGATATTGTTTTCTTCACGTATTAGCAAGGGACGATGAAGAAATGCAGGCAAGTTCAATATAATATTTATTTTTCAGTCTAATTTTGCGTGCAAGGGTGAATGGAAGGTTATTGAAGAAAAGTTGCTGAGATTTGTGATCCAAACAGCAAAACCCACTGTTTTCTACTAATGATATATTGGTTCCCCATAACTACTAGTCAAAAAGGTTACACTTACTGAATCATCCATTTTGAACCAAATACATGGTAGTACTTAATCATATCATTATTAGCCTGTCTTATAGTTTCCATTTGTGATATCTCTGTCTGCCACTCCAAATAGTTTCTACTGAACTTGTAGGGGTATAAATGCTTAATTTGTATGAATATTGATCTCTTCTGTTTTCCTTATTGATTCTTTATCCGATTACATGTTTATTGATGATAGAATTATGATAGAATTCCATCAAATCCTGACTTCCCGATAAGTTTTGTGATTCCCTTATGAATATTTTATGCGATAAACATCTTTGATCTTTGAATGATCTCTGGCAAGCTTTTTCATTAGGATCTTAAATGCTAGTAGTTTTTATCCTGCGTTCCATCTCCATTTGTTTTCGTCAAGAGTATTATACCTTATAAATCTTGATGCCTTGGTCATATGTTCTTTTCTACCTCTTAAATTTTTTTTTTGGTCTGCACTTTGTATTAACATGTTTTTTTTTTTCTGTTGAAATTCTTATTTCTATACTGAAGTATTTCATTTTATAGGTCTTGAATTATTCGTGAGTGAAGTAGAAGAAGATCAGTTTTCAAGTATAATCGTAGATGATAAGCTCAAGCTGGAAAACTCTAAGAATTGCTTACCTGGTTTTAAAGTTGCATCAAGCTCTGATTACAGTTTAAAACGGCAAGTGCCAATTTTAAAATTTTGTTTATACTTATTACGTTTATCTTGCTTTTATTTGGCCTTTAAATGTTATCTCATAACAATTATGAAGCTTTATATGGGGTTGGTTTTTCCATTCGATCTTAGTTTCCACTTTTAGACTCTTCTTAGATTTTTGGAAGCCTATCAGTGCTTGTAATGTAGTCAGTAATCCATATATTTGATAAAAAATATATTACCTCTCTATCCTTATTTTATATATGAATATTAAGCCTGGTTGGAATTTTTTCATAAGATCATGTTTTTCTGGAATACTATATAGATGAAAATTTGCTCAGATATATGATCAAATTCATAGATGCTCATCATCGTTATAATCATCATCAGTAGCCTTATGCCAACTGTCTTGATGCCAGCTTTATAAACCATCCGGATCCATTTTATAACATGCGGTAAATTAATGGATACTCCTGAAAACATGAATTACATTGATTCCTTAAAAGAATTCAGGGTGCAACGCAGTGGGATTTTTTCCTGTTTAGTAAAGCCAAAATTGATAGTTTAGAATTTAAACTTTGATATTCGGGTAGGAGTCGTACTAGAAATGGTGTAGGTATTATTATAGATAAGAGTTTAAAGGATAATGTTATAAAAATTGATAGGATTGGAGATAGAATTATAGCTTTAATGATTGTTATTGATTATAAGATTGTTAATATTATAAGTACTTATCCTCCTCAAGTAGGTTTGGATAGAAGTTCTAAATTAAATTTTTGGAATGACTTAAAAGAATTAATACATAAGATACCTCTTGAAGAAAGAGTTTTTATTGGAGGAGATTTAAATGGACATGTTGGTAGAGAGGTAGATGATTTTAAAAGCATTCATGGTGGCCATGGATTTGGAACGACGAATGAAGGTGGCAATACCATATTGGATTTTTGTTTAGCTTATGATTTTTTAATTGCTAATACCTTATTTAAGAAAAGAAATGAGCATCTCATCACTTATAAAAATGGATATAGTACAACTCAGATTGACTATTTTCTTATTAGAAAATTAAATTGTTTATATTGCAAAGATTGTAAAGTTATTCCGAGGGAAAATTTATGTACCCAACATCGATTATTAGTTTTGGACTTTAAGATAAAGGGGCATAAAATAAAAAATAAAGTAAAAAAATTTTCTAGGATTAAATGGGGGCATTTAAAGAATATTAAAAAAAATATTTTTGAAAATAAGATTTTAGATCTTAAGATTTTGTCTGTGCATGAGGATGCTAATATTATGTGGGAAAAAGT